TGTTGTAGTAGCAGCAGTAGTAGTAGTAGTAGTGGTAGTAGTAGTAGTAGTAGTAGTAGTCGTAGTAGTAGTAGTAGTAGTAGTAGTAGTAGTGGTAGTAGTCGTAGTCGTAGTACGGGTAGTCGCAAGAATAGTAGATGCTCTGGCATTTCCTTGCCACACGTGTTCGGTGATGCTGCTATTCGGCATAAGAAGATCTAATCTTCGAGTCGGCCTGGGCCAGAGATAATGAAGTGGGATCCCGCGGGTACGCGGGAGGTAGATGAATCACCAGTGCAGGCGACTTGCGCGGACACTTCGGAGGAAACAATTGGGTCGAATGGTGGCGGTTGCGACTGGTGGACGGATTATGTTCAGTATTGTAGTTATTCTTTCTTGTACGACGACACCGACTTCACAGTTGCAGAGATGTGCTGCGCATGCGGGGGCGGCGAGGCTCGGAACGCTCGCTTTCACTGTCCTCACATGCTTTCCCCGGAACCCTTGCTGCTTGGCCGCCCCTCCCCCAGAACCTCACCTTCAAACTATCAGCTCCCGTCTTCTTGAGTATCCTGCTGCCTGTGGAAAGTCCCGCCACCGTGCCAGCCCAGCACTCTGGGTGGCGAGTGTTCGAGCAGCGCACAGGAAGCCGTAATGTGTGGCACCTCGTGTCCCTAGACGTGGGAGAGCACTAAAAGGTGGCACGCTCTTCCTCGTCGTGTCGGGGTATCTCTTTTCGTGCTCGTCGTCGTCCTTACTACCGCTTCCTCCCCCTCTCCTGTCGTGAGGCCTCTCGGGGGAGCGTTCGGGGAGAGGAACACATGTCTGATGGCCTTCGGCCCATCCCGCCACCGTGCCCTGCGTTGTGGGTATGACGCCTATCGGATGTTTCGTTGGGATCTCGTGGAGCGGCCTTTTGGAGGCAGTTTTGAGCCCTCTCGGGGACAGATTTGGGGCCTCTTGGGGCCTCTTTTGGGCCTCTCGGGGACCTTTTTGGGCCTCCTAGGGGCCTCTTGGGTCCTCTTGGGCGCCTCTTTGAGTCTCCTGGGGACTTCTTGGGATGGAAGGCTTGGATTGTCGGTTCGAGCTCCCTCTCTCAGAAGCCTTTTGGGGTCGTCTTGGCGCCCTCTTGGGCCGTTTTTTTTGGGCGCGTTTTGAGCCATCTTGGGGCGCTCGTGGGCCGTCTTGGGGCCCTCTTGGAGGCCGCTTGGAGGCCTCTTGGGCCGATTTTTGTTGGTCGTGGGGGGCCTCCTGGGGCAGAAAAAGCGAGAACGCCCAAACCGGTTGAAACACACAAGAAAATCCATGATTGTTGCATCCTGTGTCCCTCTTGGGGATGCTCTTCGAGGCCTCTTGGGACGTCTTCACGTCTTGAGGCCTCTGGGTCCGTCTTCAGGCCGTCTTGGGCATCTTGGGCCGATCGTTCGGCGACTCCGGGGACCTCGTGTACCGTCTTCGGGGCCTCTAGGAGCCCTCTTGGCGCGTCTCGGGACCCTCTAGGCGCCGAAAAAGTCCTGCGGCAAGACTTGCCAAGCCCCATGGGGCACGCAACAAGACCCGGGAGATTTGAGAATTTGGGGTCCGGTCCCTCCGGAGATTCCTCTGGAGGAAGGGCTCAGGCTCAGAGGATGAGGCAGAGGACCTGAGGACACGCCCACTCCGTGCCCAGCGGCACGGTGGCGGGTATAGACTTAGAGAGAGCACACCGAAGGCCCCAGAGGCAGGGTCCGCATGCGGTTCCACGCCCCCATTTCCGCGCACACCTCGCTTAGGGTTGGGTTCTGTTTGCCAGGGTAATGTGATACTGCTTTGTGCTACTGCCCATTCCTAGTTTGTTCCACATGATCGCCCTTCATGCGGGACCCCGCGGGCATGCGGGAGGAGGCAGAGAAATTACCAGTGCAGGCGACTTGCGCGGACACTTGGGAGGAAGCAATGGGGTCGAATGGTGGCGGTTGCGACTGGTGGACGGACTATGCTCAGTATTGTAGTTATTCTTTCTTGTACGACGACACCGACTTCACAGTTGCAGAGATGTGCTGCGCATGCGGGGGCGGCGAGGCTCGGAACGCTCGCTTTCATTGTCCTCACATGCTTTCCCCGGAACCCTTGCTGCTTGGCCGCCCCTCCCCCAGAACCTCACCTTCAAACTATCAGCTCCCGTCTTCCTAAGTATCCTCGATGTTTGTTCATGGGAGCCTTGGGCGGCGACATTGAAGTCAGCTTTTCCTGCATTTGGACCGCACTGTGGCCGCATTTGGTTCCTCCTCCTGCTCCTCCTCGTACTTCCTGTTTCTCCTCCTCCTCCTCCTCCGCCTCATTCTTGTCGCCTCCCTTGTTGTGAAGGGGCGAATCTCGTCCAATTCTGCTCCAAATATGGTCCAAATCAGGCCCAAATCGGACAGCGCCAGGGGCCGCGCAGGCTCCCATGAAACGGACACCAAGAGTATCCTGCTGCCTGTGGAAAGTCCCGCCACCGTGCCAGCCCAGCACGGGTGGCGAGTGTTCGAGCAGCGCACAGGAAGCCGTAATGTGTGGCCCCTAGGCGTGGGAGAGCACTAAAAGGTGGCACGCTCTTCCGCGTCGTGTCGGGGTATCTCTTTTCGTGCTCGTCGTCGTCGTCGTCCTTCCTTCTGCTGCCTCCCCCCCTCCTGTCGTGAGGCCTTTCGGGGGAGCGTTCGGGGAGAGAAACACATGTCTGATGGCCTTCGGCCTATCCCGCCACCATGCCTGGGTTGTGGGTATGACGCCTATCGGGTGTTCGTTGGAATCTGATTGGGGGGCGGCAGTTTTGAGGCCTCTTGGGGCCGCTTTGGGGCCTGGCGGGGCCTCCTAGGGGCCTCTTGAGGCCTTCTGGAGGCCTCAAGGGGGCCTCTTGGGTCCTCTTGGGCGCCTCTTTGGGTCTCCTCGGGGCATCTTGGGGTGGAAGGCTTGGATTATCGGTTCGAGCTCCCTCTCTCAGAAGCCTTTTGGGGCCGTCTTGGCGCCCTCTTGGGCCGTTTTGGGCGCGTTTTGAGCCATCTTGGGGCGCTCGTGGGCCGTCTTGGGGCCCTCTTGGAGGCCGCTTGGAGGCCTCTTGGGCCGACTTTTGGTGGTCGTGGGGGGCCTCCTGGGTCGTCTTTGGAGCGTGGGAGAGCAGAAAAAGCGAGAACGCCCAAACCGGTTGAAACACACAAGAAAATCCATGATTGTTGCATCCTGTGTCCCTCTTGGGGATGCTCTTCGAGGCCTCTTGGGACGTCTTGGAGGCCTCTGGGTCTGTCTTCAGGCCGTCTTGGGCATCTTGGGCCGATCGTTCGGCGACTCCGGGGACCTCGTGGACCGTCTCCGGGGCCTCTAGGAGCCCTCTTGGCGCGTTTCGGGACCCTCCTGGCGCCGAAAAAGTCCTGCGGCAAGACTTGCCAAGCCCCAGGGGGCACGCAACAAGACCCGGGAGACTTGAGAATTTGGGGTCCGGTCCTTTCGGAGACTCCTCTGGAGGATTGGCTGAGGCTCAGAGGATGAGGCAGAGGACCTGAGGGCACGCCCACTCCGTGCCCAGCGGCACGGTGGCGGGTATAGAGAGCATCCGCGTGTACATGTATATGTATATGTATATGTGTGTATATCTATATACACATATATATATATATACAGTCGCGGATGAGGTCGTGGAAAGGGTCGCGCTTCGAGGCAGAGCTGGGTGCGGGCTCCCCGTATCCACGCTGAGCCGCTCGCACCACGCGAGCGGCGCCTTAATTGTACCGCTTTCGGGCGAGTCCAGGCCCCATCCGTTTTTTTCGGGATTCTTGAATCTTTAGGTGCTTCGTACATTCGGTGTGAGTGAGTGATGTATATATATATATGTGTAAATATATACATTTATATACATATACATATACATATACAAGCACCTATATATATACACATATGTGTATACATGTGTGTATGCGTGCGTGTGTATCCTGAATGTCGCCGTACTAATGCAGGGTCCCGAGTGGACCCTCTTCAGACTCTGTCGACGCCCCCTTTCAGGCCACGAAACGCGTTTTCTCGACCATCTCTATCGAAATAATTCCACTGTCCTAGTAGGGTTCTGTGAGCGTTGGATTGAGCCTGCGTAGGATTAGATTAGAGCTCGATTCAGCCCGAGTGATGTTCTACTGAAGCTGGATCGAGGTCTAGTTGGATTCTAGTAGAGCTGGATCGGGCCCTCGTATCTAATGGCCTTCGGCCCATCCCGCCACCATGCTTGGGTTGTTGGACGTAAGCCTCTAGGATGTTCGTTGCGATGTCGCGGGGAGCCTTTTCGGAGACTTGTTGGGGGCAAGTTCGAGGCCTCTTGGGGCCCTCTTGGGGCTTCTTAGGGCGTCTTCGGGCTTATATTTGGGGTCTCTTGCGGCCTCTTGGGGCCCTCTTGGGGCCTCCTTGGGGCCTCCTGAGCGCTTCGCGGGGCGGAAGACTCGGAATTTCGATTCGTGCTCCCTTCCCTCTCTTGGGCCCTTCTCGGGGCTGTCTTTGGGCCATCTTGGGCCGTCTTGGGCGCCTCTGGGGCCATCTTGGAGCCCTCTTGGGCCGTGTTGTGGCCCTCCCGGGAGCCTCATGAGCCGTCTTGGGCGGTCCGGTCCTGGGGGCCTCTTGGGCCGTTTGGTAGCGTCGGTAGCTCGACAAGTCGAGCGCCCCAAAATCATTGAACAGTTTTTGGGGGAAATCAACGTTTTGGGCCTTGGGAAGGCTCTTGGGAAGCCTCTTGGGGCTATCTTGTGGTGTCTTGGAGGCCTCTTGGGCCGTCTGGTTCTCTTGGACCGTCTTTGGGGCCTCTTGGGGCCCTCTTGGCCAGTCTTGGGGCCCTCTTGGCTCCGAAAAGGTCCAGCGAGAAGCCCCAGGGAGCACGCGGGAAGCCCAAGAAGATGTGGCAATTCCGGCTCCGGACCCCGCAAACTTTCCCCAGGAGTGCTTATGGGATCACGCAAAGGACCTGAGGACACGCCCACTTCGTCCCCAGCGGCACGGTGGCGGATGATTGCACTCGAGCTGGATCGAGCCCGAATCGGATCTTGTTAGAGCTGGATCGGGCCCTATCAGAATACCATCGAGCTGGATTCAGCCTTATTAGGATGTCATGAGCATTAGATCGACCGCATGTAGCATGCCATTAGAGCTGGATCGAGCCCCCGTAGGATTAAATTTGAGCAGGATCCAGCCCTGGTTAGAGCCTGTTAGGGCTGCATCGGGCCTGAGTGGGTTTATATCAGAGTTGGATAGAGCCCCGGTTGGATTCCATTGGAATTGTATCCAACCCTGGCAGGATTCCATCAGAGTTGGATCCATCCCTGACAGGGTTCGACCAAGTCCAGTTCGAGCCTTCGTCATCGTCGTTGTTGTCGTGGTCGTTGTCATTGTCGTCGCCGCGGCTGCTGACGTTGTCGCCGTCGTCGATGTTTTTCGTCGTCGGTGTTCTTTGCCAGCGGCGCGTAGGGGGAGATAGGGGGGTCGGTTTGAACCCCCCGCACGTTGGCAAAGGGTGGGGGCCTTCCCGGATCGACCCCCCCCCCTTTGGAGGGGGGTGGGGCCGTTGTCCAGGGCCCCCCCCCACTCCCTCAAGGTTTTCCGGGCACGCCGAACGTTTTGCCCCTCCCCCCCCCATTGTCGGGTTCCGACGTGGGATGTTTCTGAAGTAATTGTCCACGAAGCGCGTCCTTTCAAGCATCTTCACCAGAAGAACCCATCATAATCTCCACAACCTTCCAACCACACGCGCATAGTCCCAACATAAGAAGCACCACCCAAATGTGCAACGTAAAAACACAACGTAGGCCACACAATTCTGAAAAAAACACAACGTAGCGTTATAGAGCCCACTCTCGATGAAGCCACCAGTCCCATGGTGGAGACGACAGGTGCCGTTGTTACAACACCATCCGAAGACAGCACATCTCAGGTGGTGACGACGAGCGCCGCGGAGACGACAGTTACCTTTACTACCTTTACTGCAGCTCCGTTCATGCCGACTCCCGTGCCGACCCCCATCAACACCACAATGCCAACTCCCGTGCCGACTCCCAACAACACCACAATGCCGACTCCTTTGCCGACTCCCATCAGCAACACCACAATGCCAACTCCCGTGCCGACTCCCATCAACACAACGATGCCGACTCCAGTGCCGACTCACACCAGCAGCACCCCAATGCCGACTCCCGTGCCGACTCCCATCAACACAACGATGCCGACTCCAGTGCCGACTCACACCAGCAGCACCACAATGCCGACTCCCGTGCCGACTCCCATCAACACAACAATGCCGACTCCAGTGCCGACTCTCACCAGCAGCACCACAATGCCGACTCCCGTGCCGACTCCCATCAACACAACGATGCCGACCCCCGTGCCGACTCTCACCAGCAGCACCACAATGCCGACTCCCGTGCCGACTCGCATGCCGGTTGCCGTTCCGACTCCCGTGCCGACTCGCATGCCGACTCCCGTGCCGACTCCCATGCCTACGCCGTCTACCGTGCAACTGTTCTACATTCGGGGCGACGTCTCCCTGCAGAGCGAGGGGACGTATGCCCAGGTGAGGAGCGCTCTGCAGTCTGCCATCGCCGAGGCCCTGGACATCTCTGAGACTGACCTCGCGGTGGCGGCTGCGCTCGTCAGCGGCCGGCGACTGGCCGCATGGGCGGCCGAGTGGCAGTCCGTGGCCGAAGGTGCAGAGGCTGCGAGCAACTTGCTGGCGTCTGCCTCCAGCCTGAGCGCCGACCCGAGCACCCTGGCGGAGAGCCTGGAGGCGTCCTTCACGGCAGCAGGCTTGGCTTTCGACGGCGCGTCCCTCTCCGTCGGTGAGCCCAGCATGGAGACCGTCGGGCCCACCATTTGGGGGCCAGATGCGAACCCTGCCCCTACCCCCCACGATTTCTGAGGGGGAGGGCGGGGTAGGGGTAGGGGTAGGGTTCGCATCTGGCCCCCTAACAATGGCGCCGACGGCGGCACCCGCCAGCGCGCCGACGCCCGCGCCCACGGGAGCGGCCCTCTCCGAGGAGGCCGCGCAGGCGGCGGCCGTCGTGGTGGAGGAGGTCGGGCAGCAGGAGGGCGGCCTGCTCCGCAGCCTCTTCGAGAACGTCTCGGAGGTCTTGGGCAGCAGAGCACGGGAGCCTCGTGTCCTCCAGATTTCGTAAGAAAGGGAGGGGGGTCTCATTTCGGGGGATGGGTCTCTTCCAGGCTATCTTGGAGGGCCTGGGGGGGGTCTGGGGACGATGTTCTGGAGGGTCCCCCCACGGGGGAGGTCTGAAATGGCTTGTCTTGGAGGGTCCAGACCCCCTCCCTTTAATACGAAATCTGGAGTACCCTATTTTCCTTCTTCGACTAGCTTTGGATAATCGATGAGAGCGCCGATTCAGCGACGATTAGCGTCGATGAGTGGCGTGATTCGCGTCGACGAGCGTCGTTGTTAGCATCGCTTCGCCAACGCCAGCAGGATGGTACGGGAGGCTCCCATGAGCTGCTGCCGAAGAGGTCGCAGTCTCGAACGCCAGCTCGGTTGCTTCCGTCGAGGCTACGTCCGTGACCACCAAGGTGGGAGTCACCGCCGCGGCTGTTGTAGACGCGGTCGCGGTTGCGAGCAGCGGGGCCTCCGCAGTGGAGATCTCTGCCGACGACAGTGCACGGTCCCAGGTGGTCAGAGTCGTGGTGCCGGCCTCGGTGATCTCGCAGGCGGCCAGCGGCCACGCGAGCGGCGGTGGCGGCACCGCCGTCGGCATCGCAGTCACCGTGTTGGCCGATGCATTCCCCGAGACGAGGTCGGCGTCTGCACAGGTGAGCGTAGTAGTGGTGGACAACGACGGCAACGAACTCTCTGGAGTGCAGCTGGCAGAGCCTGTGGAGATCGTCCTGTTGAGTCAAAAGAGTGAAGGTCTCGTGTGCGCATGGTGGAACAGCCCAGCAACGTCGTGGTCTACCTCTGGCGTCGAGGAGGTCGTCCACGATGGGCCGCAGTTCGTTTGCAGAACCCACCACCTTTCGATATTCACTGCCTTGGCCAGTTTTGCAACTACTCTGGAGAAGGCTTTGGTCTGCTCGAACTCGAAGGTAGTATCGGCAGAGTCATTTCGGCAAGCCACCAGCGACACGACGTGGGTGTACACATTGGACGGTTTCGTTTATGTGTTTTTGATTGTTGTGACCATTATCCTCATGATGAGTTCGTTCTACTTGGACTCTCGGTGGAAACGACGGTATTTGTGGACAGACACATCTTTCTGCACCACGAACGAGTCCCTAAAGACAGAAAAGAAGGGTTTTCTCGAGATGGCTAAGGCTGCTTACAAAGAGCAACTCGACATCTCCCGGATATCCAGGACTGTGACCTACCATGCATTGGCACACGAGGAGAAGGTGGCTGTCCAGAGCATTCAAAATCTCCTAAAGGGGCGTCTGGAAGTGGACCAGGACGGCACCACGAATACCACAGGGGGCGTAGCAGCAGTCCTCAGGGAAGCAGGCGATAGAATGGACGAGGCCGTTGACAGCGCTGTCGATATCGCAAACCAGGCAGTGGTTGCCGTGGGTCAGCTCGTCGAGAGAAACAGCAAGAAAACGTTGGAGCGGATGGGATTGGCCAAGGTGGACGTCGCGAAGGAGGTGCCCGAGTTGCTTTCTGTGAAGGCGGTGAGCTTGTGTGACACGTTCTGGAGCTCACGCCGACGATGGCAAGTCTGGGTAATATTCGTATCCGTCAACAGGTGGATCCAGTGGTATCATTACAGCATATTCGATCGGAGCACCACTCGTGGCGTACTTCTCTTGGGCCAGGTGTGGGGTGCGATAGCGGTGATCGCTCTATTCAGCGAACAGACGGGCAGCAGCCTTAGCCAGGGCAGTGATGCGGAGTGCGAGGTCAACAGTGTTTGGGAGCGGGTGCAGATGGACGTCGCGGTGGGTTTCTGGTCCGCTATCATGTCTTCGGTCCCCATTGCCATTTCGCAAGCGGTTCTGCTCCGCAGGCGGTTTGTGTACCAGTCTGAGTGGGAGGTAACACAGCGTATGAGCTATTCGCGCTGGTGGAAACTGCAAGAGATGCTCTTGCTCCTGTTTGTCGGCTTGTACACCACCGCCTGCATCTTGTTTGTGGGGCTCTTCCTGGGCAGCGTCACTCCAATGTCCCGGAAGCACATGACCGCGTCCAGCATCTGCAGCGTGTGTACGAAGGTTGTGGCGGTCCCTCTTGGCATATCGATCGCCCTACTGGCCGTGGCCACTGTACATCAGCGGCTGCAGCCGGGCACACTGGAGAAGATCAAGGAGGACATCAGGACGAGGTTCGAAATGGAAGAGAGACGGAGGGGCCCGATGCCGATGCTCGATGAGGTCTGCCCACTGGGCCCCCCGGAGAAGGAGTGCTGCCAGGAGCCCGAGGAAGAGCCGAAGAAGCGGAGCCTGGCCCTGGTGGAGCCGGCGGAGCCAGAGGCCGAGGACGCCGTCTTCTGCCCGGCCCCGCACCTCGAGCCCGCGCCCGTGCTGCCGGGCCCGGCCCTGCGGCCCGAGCCCGCGCCCGCGCTGCTGGGCGCTGTGCCGGGCGCGGTGCACGACAGCGACGACGGGCTCGACGAGGACCACATGTAGGGGGCCGCATGGCGAACCCTGCCCCTACCCACCACGGATTTCTGAGGGGGAGGGCGGGGTTCGCTTCGCTCGGGAGCTCCCGAGCGAAGGGAACCCCACCCTCCCCCTCAGATAAATCGTGGGGGGTAGGGGCAGGGTTCGCATGTGGCCCCCTGACATGCCTGCGCCCGCGCTGCCGGGCGCTGTGCCGGGCGCTGTGCACGACAGCGACGACGGGCTCGACGAGGACCACATGGGCATCGTCTTCGGGATGCCGTACGAGCACGCGGGCCACGGCGACTTCGGCGGCGCGCTCCGGGGCGCCCTGTCGGCGGTGGGCGTCGGCGCCGCCAGCCTCCGCGGGCTGCGCGTGGGCCTGCGCGAGGGCCCCGCCGGCGGCACGGTCGCGGTGCTCAACGGCCCCGTGGCCGCGATCGTCGAGGCGCGGGGGCAATGTCAGGAGGGGGGGGATGGGGGGGATAATCGGGCCGGGCGAAAGGGGGGGATTGGGAAAGCGGGGGTTACGAAATTTGCTGCATGCAGCTGGTATCGGCCTTACCGAGGGGCCCCTTCCTCGATACATGGCCGCCTCCGGCGCTGGGAGGCGCTGGGAAAATTAGCTACGTGAGCTGATTCTCAAACGGGGGGTGGACAGACCTCCTACCCTGACACGTCGATTAAGGAATTCGCCGTTTTCGGTTCGCGAGAGGGCGTCGCGGCCGTCATTTTTGCGGGTCCGGGTCCGTCGGTTTCGGTCCCAGGCCGTTTTCACTAAGGGGAGGTCTACTAAGGGAGGTGTGTCCACCGCCGAGTCAGGGGGGAGGATGGGGGGGATGGGCTCAGGGTGTGGCGCATCGAAAGGGGACGATCGAGACGGAAAACATGGGAATCGAAGGTAGAACAGACTACATAATGGAGTCGTGCTGTCGAAGGGTAGAGTTCGGGACGATCGAGATGGGTACGGAAAGAATTGGTACGAAGACTGGCCGCATGTTCTGCTCACGTTGAACAGGGCTCGCTGTCCGTGTCGCCGCGGGCGTGGTTCACTTGAGACAGCAGGCCGCCTCTGCCCATCAGCGGCCGCTGTCGGTTTTGGGCAACATCTGCTGTTGGGCATCGTGCCCACTTCTTTTCCTGTACCCATCTCGGGCGTCCAAACCCATCGCCGGTTCATCGCCCATAGGGGCTGGATAGGCAACCCCGCCCAGGAGCATGCGGATTCGCTAGCAGGGGCACCTCGCCGATCCGTCGGCGATGATATTTTTATACTAATTTATGTATGTATTTATTTATGTATATATATGTGTGTGTCTATATATGTATGTACACATGTGTGTACAAGAGTGCATTGGCGTTCCGCGCCATGCACCTTGGCCCTCCAGGATCGGCGCGCAGGCGGCAGGCGGGGCGCGGGAGAGAGAGAGCGGGAGAGAGAGAGAGAGAAAGAGACCGAGAGAAAGAGAGAGAGAGAGAGAATGCGAGAGAGCAAGAGAGAGAGAGATACGATTCAAGAGGACGAACGTTCCCTGTGACCGTCAGCAGAATCGTTGTTACGATTTTGTCATATCTCACTTACGTCTCATGGCTCCTTTTCGTTTTTGCTCGTCGTTTGCGGAGGCGCCCCTGTTCAGGAGGGAAAAACACACAGACACCATGACTCGTCGATTCCCAAGAAAATACGGGAAAATATGCGAAGTGGGGGGGAAGACGAAAACTTCAAAAATATGTAAATGTATGGGGAATCTTGTTCTTTGTGTGTATTTATTTGTGTGTCCCAGGGCCCCTTCATTACAGATTTTAGTGCGTGGCCTCCCCCGTGGAGGGCGTTCAGGGAAGCTCGTGAGAGCTGTTGTGGTATCTTGGTGGTCTTCGAGTGCCTGCTTGGGTTATACTGGAAGTTTGTTTGAACCTCCTACGGTTCCCTGGGCGCAGTTCTGAATTCCGCCTTCAATGTATGTTGTGCAATGTGCGAAAAGTCGAAGTGCCCGAGGGTGATCATATAGCCATGGCAAGTTGCAAGTGAAGAGCGGAATCACATCTTCCGACTGACGATTCAGACAGCAACATTTGCCATGCATACGTGAGTCAGTGTATGCGCAGGATGCAAAGCCGTCCGTGTGGTAAGAAATACGGGCACAACCCCATGTGAATAATTGAACGTGCCACATGTGTAACAAGGGGTCCAACTAGCAAGTCCGAATCCGCCGACCCCGTGGGGCCCCAGCTTCTGGAGCAGTCGTTCGCACAGAAGGGTAAAGCACGAACGGGGTGGGAGGTGAGTCCCTGCCCTGTTATTGGACGCTTCCGGGTTTTCCTCGGGGCCCTTCCGGACTGTCGTGGGGCCCTTCGGGACCGTTTTGGGGCCCTTGCGGGCTGTTTCGGGGGGCTCTGGCCGTCGTGGATCTCTGCTGGGGGCTTCCTGGGGTTGTCTTGGGTCTCTCTTGGGAGCCTCTTGGGGACGTCTTGGGCTGTATCGGGGCTCTCTTGGGCCATCTAGGGGCTACCTTGGACCGTCGTGGGGCCCTGTGGGGCTGTCTTGGGGCCAATGTTTTGCTTTTTGGAGCGATTTGGGGGGCCTCTTGGGCGGTTCTGGAGCCTTGGAAAACAAAAAGAGTAGTATGGCTGAACATGCACGTTTTCCAAAAGGAGGGCTTTTTGGGCGTTTGGGGGGTCTCCTGGATTGTCGTGGAACCATATGAGGCCGTCTTGGGAGCGCTCCTGGGCCGTCTTGGCACCGTACGGAGCCACTTCGGGTCCGTATTTGGGCGCCCAGGGCGGTCGAAATTCTCTCGGTGGGGGGTGGAGCGGGGTGCCCGCTCTTGTACAAAGTGCGAATAGCAATATGCGCAGCTCTCCCCCCAACACCCATTCATTGTGCATCGGCCTTTGAGCTCTTCGTTCGTACTCATACTGATCGCCAGCCTGTTTTCTCAATGGTGCCTGCGCATCCACTGTTCCTGTTCGTCGTTTCTCTGCTGTCTGTTCCGTGCTGGAGTCTAATTGAAATCGGATCTGGGACCTGCGCAAATATATAGAGATTCAATTTCTACTCCAATAGCAACCGAAATGTAATCAGATGGATCTGGGATCCGCTCCACCCTGATTATATTCTAACTACTTGGAAGCAGCTGCCTGTGGGACCTGCTCCATTCCAAATGTTGTTAAATTCGCTTCCAAGAGGAAACAACTTGGAATCAGCTGGATCTGAGATCTGCTCAATTCCAATAAGATTCTGAATCGATTGCATATGGAGTCGAACTGGAATCAGCAGAATATGTGGTCTGCTCAATCCCAGGCATATTCTTATGTTATTAGAAGAGGGATCCCAATTCGACTCAGCTGGATCTGGGATGTGCCCAATCTATTCTAGTTCGTCTGCTTAGATTCAATCGAGACTCTGATTGGATTCAGCTGGATCCGTGATATTCGAAAGTCTAGTTCGAGTCCAATTACATGTCAATGACAATCAAAGTAGAATCAGTCGGATCTGGGATCCGGTCCACCCCAGTGAGATTATAATTAAGTCCCAATCGGAATGTACTTGGAATCCGCTGGATCTCGGATCTGTTCAATGCTAGTCAGGTTCCAATACATTTCCATTCGGGACATGTTTGGAATGAGCTGGACCTGGGATCTGCAACGTTTCAAATAGATTCCAAGTCGGTGCTCATATGAATCCAATCTGCATCAGCTTGATCTGGGGCCTGCTCAATTCTAATTCGGTTTCACGACGTGTCAAGAGGAGTCCTAATTGGAGTCAGTTGAATCTGGGATCCGCTCCACTCCAATTTGATTAGAGGTGTATCCCAATAGGAATGTAAGTGTAATCGGCCTGATCTGGAATATGCTGTTCCATGTCTCTCTCTCTCTCTGTTTTCTCTCTGTATCTCTCCCTCTCTCCCTCTCTCTCTCTCTCTTTCTCTCCCTCTCTCCACCTCCCAGACAACCAACACAATCCTTCTGACAAACACAAGGCGTGCCATGTTAGGTTTGTGGAAGCCCTGTGATTGCATTGGAGCGTTTGGGATTTCTTGGATGAGAAATGAGGAGACCATGTGTTTCCATTGGGATGTTTATGATCTTTGGGGCTCTCCTACCCCCAGCGACAATTAATCCCAGAAGCCCTCCCAGGAGCACCGATCCCTAGAAGTTCAAACGCCCAGAACATCGCAATCAAAAACCATGGTTTCCTGAATAGGCATTCCAAGAATTCCAATGATCCAAGTTCTATGATAATAGGAATCATACTCGATATATATATATATATATATACATATATATATGACAAGTACCTATATCAGGGGGAACGCTGTGTGTCCCTGTTTCTGTGGGCGGCTTTTCATAAGCAGTGCTGTTCCACCGCGAAAGTGACATTCTTCCGAAAACCATGCAAAAACACACTTTAGGTGTGATGTGCTTTATGTTTTTTCCTTGTGAACAAACAGTAGAATTTTGGTTAATCGCTGTGTTATTTGTGATTTGCACGTTTTCAAATAAAATGAGCAGGGCATTATCAATAACATACAAATATGTGAAGTAACATCGTTGGCTGAGTTTTCAGATTCAGCAGCTTTGTGCGGACTTGCCACAGATCGCATACCTGCACAACTTGTACGAAGGGGTTGTGTTCTTGTGGTTTGCCGGTTTCCAAATAAATTCAGCAGACAAGCCAGCAAGCGCAGATACATACATTAAGTACTATGTTGTGGGTTTTCATGCGCAAGCAGTTGTATTGGGACTTGCTACATGTTGTATACGTGCGCAACTTGTACGAAGGGAGTTGTTTTCTTATGGTTTGTTTCTTTTCACGTAACAACGAGCAGACACATTTTCGAAAGCATATAGATGCATGAAGTATCATTGTGTTCTGGATGTTTTGTGTGGGCCGTCCCATTCTAGGATTTGCCACAGACTCCTCAACTCTGCGAATTGTAAGAATCGTTGATTCCCGTTGTCGAAGCGCACAAGCCCAGCAATGTGCTGCCAACAACATGGCTACTCGGTCCCCTGCGTTTTTTTGTTGACGGTGCGATAACAATGGCCTGGTTGCTTTTCTTTCATGTTCAAAAGAAAGGTGAGGAAAAAGGCTTTACACGTCAAAATTTCGTATTCGATTGGCTCCATGTGCGACAGCTCGCTGAGAATAGCTGGGTCCCACATACGGGCACATATTCTCCATCTCTCTGGCGTTGGGACCTGCTAACTCGTATATCATCTCGTCCGACACATATCTCAACACCGTACGCAGTAAAGATCCATAGAAGAATGTGGACCGTTCTGAAAGCGCCAATGCCTGTAATATTGGACAGTGCTGTGGAAGATTCTGCAAACGGTTCGAATATCTTCACCGTTGTGTTGAATTCGCGCATGAAGCCCCGTACCCAGTCATTGTGGTACCCGTAATGTACGTTGCGAAGCCGACGGCTACGCTTCAACTTCAGA